TTGACCAGGAAAAACCAAACGGTCCTTCATTGCTACAGTGTGCCATGCCAAGGATTCATTTAATTTTTGCTTTCTTTGGTAATTAGAAAAAAATACATATTAAAGAAAAATCTAGGGGATTGGGAGTGGCCAGGGAGAGGTCACTGGGGGGAAATGGAGACATAGTAATACTTTAAATAATAAAGAACTTAAGTTAAAAAAATCTACAGTACTTATTAATTGATAGTTATCACACACTAACACTTCACTTAAATTTTTATTATTTAATCCTCACAACATCCCCATTTTACAGGTGAGAAAACTAATACAGGAGTTAAGTAACTTGCTCAAGATTAAGTTGTATGTTATAGGTCGCAGAGCTGAGATTTGAACCCAGGGCTGTCTGACTGCAATTCATGCTTTTAACCACAATGTTATATTTCTCCTATCAATGTAAATATTTGACTTGTAACTATTTGAGTTTATTTTTCAATATACACTTTACAATAGTGGGTCACAGAGAATGGATATGGTTGCATATTAGCTTTGTGATTTGGCTGAAAGAAGCTATATGAAGTCCTAAATTAGAGAGTAAAACCAGATCATGCTGGACATAAAGCTGACCTGTACCTTGCATTTGCAGAGTACCAACTGAAAGAACTGGAACACAGGACACTAGCAAAAAAATAAGGAACAGCTGGATTATTCCCATTGAGGGCATGCTTCCCACTTCACTATAGCCAAGGAGAACAATGGCTGAGAAAGGACTTGCCAGAGGGAGAACCAAGGACTAAAGAGAACAATGACAAGATAATTTTTCCTAAAGAGCAAAATTGGATTTAATCTAGGAACTTTCCAGAAAGGGAGTCTTCATAATGTACATCTACCAGGATTTTATAATTAGTTTGGACATGACTTGGTCATGTTTCCCATTCTCCCTTTTCCATTTCTTTCTCTTTTTTAAAAATTGATTTTAGGGAATAGAGTTAGAAACATCGATAAGAGAGAAACATCCATCAGCTGCCTCCTGCACGCCCCCCACTGGGGATGTGCCCGCAACCAAGGTACATGCCACTGGCTGGAATCGAACCCAGGACCCTTCAGTCCACAGGCCGACGCTCCATCCACTGAGCCACACCGGTTCGGCTAAAAATACATTTTTAAAAATTATGATTCCTTCTGTCCCTGGTGTGTATAGGTCTGGGGCCCATCAAGTCGCACGCACCCGCCTTAGCCGGTGTTGCTCCGTGGTTAGAGCATCAGCCCACGGACTGAAGGGTCCCGGGTTCGACTCCGGTCAAGGGCACAGGCCTGGGGTTGCAGGTTCCCCGGCCCTGGTTGGGGTGCGTGCAGGAGGCACACCAACCCATGAGTCTCTCTCAGATCCATGTTTCTCTCTGTCTCTCCTTCTCTCTGACACGGTCTCCTAAAAAAAAAAAAAAAACAATGGAAAAATATCCCCAAGGATTAACCAAAATAATAATAATAATAAAAAAACCCGAAAGTTGCATGCATCGCTTTGTTTTTCTGTCCGTCTTTTAAATATAGGAGTCACTTAAAAAACAATACACATTTCATTTTTTAAAAAAGTGTTTTTCAACATATTTGTATTGATTTCAGAGAGGAAGGGAGAGGGAAAGAAACATCCATGATGAGAATCATGGATTGGCTGCCTCCTGCACGCCCCCTACTGGAGATGGATCCCACAACCCGCCATGTGACCTGAACGGATTCGAACCCGTGACCTTCTAGTTCCTAGGTCGATGCCCAACCATTGATCCACACCGTCCGGGCTCAGAAAACAAACGATTCTTTTGGGGGAAAAAAATGCATTTTAGAGGAAGCCTCCAGTGGTTCTCAACCTTCTGGCCCTTTAAATACAGTTCCTCATGTTGTGACCCAACCATAAAATTATTTTCGTTGCTCCTTCATAACTGTAATGTTGCTACTGTTATGAATCGTAATGTAAATATCTGATATGCAGGATGGTCTTAGGCGACCCCTGTGAAAGGGCCGTTTGACCGCCAAAGGGGTCCCAAACTAAAGGTTGAGAACCGCTGCTCTAGCGCAATGGAGGCCATGACGAGGGTGTGGAGAAGGCCCCTGCTGCCGAGCTCCCAGAGCCCCCACAGAAATGAGCACTGTTTTGTTCAGTGTCTCTTTCCTTATAACAAAACTACAGGCCCAATGCACGAAATTCATGCATGGGTAGGGTTCCTAGACCTGGCCTGAGATCAAGGCCAAACTGTGGGGCAACGAGTGGGGTGAAGGGGGAGGGGTGTGCCCTACTGGCACCCACCTTGGCTGGCCTGGGGCCTTTGGGTTGGTGGCAGCTCCTGCATTGAGCATCTGCCTCCTGGTGGTCAGTGTGCATCATAGTGACTGGTTGTTCCACAGGTCATTCCTCCGTTCA